GACAAACCATAAGTGACTCTTCATCTCACAAAACAAACTGAGGGTTGATGGGGGGAGGGGGGTTGGGTGAGGGGGGTGGGGTTATGGACACTGGGGAGGGTATGTGCTATGGTGAGTGCTGTGAAGTGTGTAAACCTGGCGATTCACAGATCTGTACCCCTAGGGATAAAAATATATTATATGTTTATAAAAAATAAAATTAAATTTTAAAAAAAGGCTAAAATACTATCATTTTGATCCACATTTAATCCCTGACAAAATATCTTTCAAAGTGAAGGTGAAATAAAGGCCTTTCCAGATAAGCAGAATACCTTCAGAAAAGGAAATACAAAAGATAATTCCTTAGGCAGAAGTGATCCCAAGGGAAACATGGAAATGAAAAAAGTAATGAAGAGCAATGGATATGTTAAATATGTGATAATATTATATGTTAATATATTTATTATTAAGTGATTATTGATAATTGATAATTATGTTAATATATTTGTTGATAATATTTCTTATGCTGGATATGTTAAATATGTGTTAATATTTATTTATTAAATAAATCGAATAAATATTACTGTCCCAAGCAATAATTACAATGTCTGTGTGATTTAAATATATTTGAAATAAAATTAATGACAACAGGAGGGCAAATGAAATTATCAGTAAAGTCCTAGTGTTGCCAAGTTTACTGGGGAGACCCTGGGGGCCTTGGGTTGACCCAGTCTGTCCCAAAGGTGTTGCTGAAGGTGCTTGGTCTTGTCCCAAGGAAGAATTCAAGGACAGACATGCAACATAGCGGAAGAGTAAGTAACACCAGCAAGAAAGTTTATTAAACTAAAAGTATGCTCTCAGGATAGGAGAGCTGGTGAGCTAGAGAGAAAGAGAGGGAGAGGGAAGGTGAGAGAGGGAAGGAGAGAGAGGGAGCGCGCTCTAGCTATGCGCTCCGGGGTTGGGTTTCAATCTTTTATTGACAGTTGTTTAGTAAGGAATGGAATATTCATACTTGGGGTGGGGATTTCTTCGAAGCAGGGTTTCTCATCTTTTCCTCATCTGGTCAGGGGTTTCCTGTCATGGCACCAACCATCTTCATGTCTGGTTTGATCCAGTTTCTGTGGCCTGCTGCCAGGACAGGCCTCTGACTTTCCTGATAGCTGGCCATGACTTACTACTCTCTGCTGGGCTCTAGCTATCCTGTTAGAACCTAACTTAACTGCCTACTCCAACACTAACATAGTCTAGAAAATATGAAAGTTCTAATTTATATTAGAGTCTTTTGTTTAGATTTTACAGAAGACATGAAACTTTAAAAAAAAGTATGTGTCAGGAGGTAACTAAAAGCTAAACAATTATTTTTGTGTAATTTCAACAATTTAAAAAAGATAATCTTGTTCTTATGCTAACAATATGTTACTATTATGTAATTTACAAACAATGCACCTATGTAAAGTATATAATTGGATGAATCTCAACAAATGTGTGCAGACCAAACTTTACAGAACATCAACTCATTAAATTTTCCTCATGTAAATTACTATTCACAATACCTCAAAGATGCTACCACTCTTCTGATTTCTAGACTACAACTTAGTTTTGCCTGTTCTACCAGTTCTGGGACTTTATGTACCTGGAATCATACATGAGTAACTCACAGGAACATTAAAACAGCTATGTTTTAGGGGCGCCTGGGTGGCCCAGTCGGTTAAGCATCTGACTCTTGATTTTTGCTCAGGTAATGATCTCAGGGTCGTAAGATTGAGCCCCGCATCAGGCTCTGGAACCTGATTACGATTCTCTCTCACTCTCTCCCTATCCCTCTGCTCCTCCCCTGCTCGCTCTCTTAAATAAATGAATAAACCTTTTCTTTAAAGCTGTTTTAGATACTCAAAATCATCCTTTTGCAGAGGCATCCTTTGCTGAGCATACTGTTTTGGAGGGATTTATTCATGTGACCATATGTCATTTGATCATTTATATTGCTGAATAGTAATCCACAGAATAGAAAAATTTGTCAGTTCCCCTGCTGATAGACATTTGGGTTGTTTCTAGTTTCTGCCTAGTATGAATAACACTGTTATAATCATTTCGTAGAAATCTTTTGGATATATACATTCATTTCTCTTGGGAAATAAATAGGAGTACTATTGCTGGGTCATAGGATAGGTGTATATATAACTTTATGAAGAACTCCTCAAAATCTTTCCAAAGTGGTTGTGCTGGCTTACAGTCCAACACCACACGGCAGTATCATTACACAGTCCATTAGGAGTTAGGCAAGGATAAGGCAGCAGTAACAACTTTCAAAATTAGTTTTTCAAACTACCTTTCTTCATCTTCTTCCAAATCCTTTGAAGGATGTGTGGAGATGGCCATGGTCACACCAACAGGTCCTACTACTGGCCTCTCCAAGCCTGAGAGCAGAGCCACAGAGACAGTTAACCAGGGCATCCCACCCAAGTTGTAGGCTCTTCAGCCCTAGACAGGACTCTGTCAGTAGTACAGGCAGGTAGCACTGGCTCTCAGAGCTGACTGTGGAACACACAGGAATCCACCATTATTAAAAATTAAAGTATATCAACTTAACAATTAAATAAATTACATCAGGGATGCCGGGGTGGCTCAGTGGGTTAAGCCTCTGCCTTCAGCTCAGGTCATGATTTCAGGGTCGTGAGACTGCGTCCTGCATCAGGTTTCATGCTGGGTGCGGAGCCTACTTAAGATTCTCTCTCTCCTTCTGCCCCTCCACCCCCAAGAAAAGAATCACTAGAGGCTTTAAAAAATTGATGAAGGAAAAGCCAGAAGAATCGTTTTTATTGCAACTATCTTCAAGAAAATAAAGATCTTGAAAAAATATTGTTTTGATGGTTTTTGTACAAAAGTAAGATTGAGGGGTGCCTGGATGGCTCAGTGGGTTAAGCCACTGCCTTCGGCTCGGGTCATGATCTCAGGGTCCTGGGATCGAGCCCCACATCGGGCTCTCTGCTCAGCGGGGAGCCCGCTTCCCCCCCACCCCGCTCTGCCTACTTGTGATCCCTCTCTGTGTCAAATAAAAAAATTAAATTAAATTTTAAAAAAAAGTAAGATTGAGACTCTTGATCTTCGGGTGGTGAGTTTGAGCCCCACACTAGGAATAGAGAGTACTTTAAAAAAGTTGATTGATAGTATCAGTAAAAGGGCACCCAAATATTAAAACTGGCTGGTAAGAGGGGTGCCTGGGTAACTCACAGTCAAAGTGTCTTCCTTTGGCTCAGGTCATGATCCCAGGATCCTGGGATTGAGTCCTCCATCGGGCTCCCTGCTCAGTAGGAAGCCTGCTTCTCCCTTTGCCTCTCCCTGCTCCTCGTGCTCCCTCACTTGCTCTATTGCTCGCTCTCTCTTAAATAAATAAAAGCTTTAAAAAAAACTGGCTGGTAAGAGGGGTGGTCTCCACTGATAGAGACATCTAGGGAGAAACAGGCAGCCTTGTGTTGTATATGGCAGGTCCTCAGAAGGCATCGCTTTCTCAGGTTCTGTAGCTACCAACATTCTAATTCTGTGATTACAACTTGAGACATGGAAACCGGAGTCCTTTCCATGACACTATTGTTGATGTCCCAGTGACTTCGGATTTGACCTGTGGTATCTCAAATTTTGTTTCTCCCTTCATGACTCTCAAAACTTGTCGGTGATATAAAGGCTTTCTGATTTCTGAAGGGACACTCCCAGGAAACTTTATCTCAACTGTAAGAATCAAAAATACTCAACTCTTGGGGCGCCTGGGTGGTTCAGTGGGTTAAGCCTCTGCCTTTGGCTCAGGTCATGATCCCAGGGTCCTGGGATCGAGCCCCACATTGGGCTCTCTGCTCAGCAGGGAGCCTGCTTCCTCCTTTCTCTCTGCCTGCTCTCTGCCTATTTGTGATCTCTATCAAATAAATAAATAAAATCTTTAAAAAAAATACTCAACTCTTGGGGCATCTGAGTGGCTCAGTCAGTTAAGCGACGGACTCTTGATTTTGGCTCAGCTCATGACCTTAGGGTCATGAGATTGAGGCCCATGTTGGTCTCTGTGCTTTGCATGGAGTCTGCTTGAAATTCTTTCCCTCTCCCTCTCCCTTTCCCCTTCCCCCAACTCACATGTGCTCTAAATAAATAAATAAAATCTTTAAAAAAATACTCAACTCTTACTCGGTTTAAAGCCCATTTGATTTCATTTGTTTATTTTTTTTAAAGATTTTATTTATTTATTTGAGGGAAGCAGAAGGGAGAACAGAGGGAGTGAGAGAAGGAGATTCTCTGCTGAGCAGAGAGCCTGACATGAAGCTTGATCCCAGGACCCTGAGATCATGACCTGAAGGCAGACACTTAACTGGCTGAGCCACCCAAGTGCCCTTCATTTGCTTATTTCATTGTTTCCTTGTTTGTTTTAACCTAAGACACCTCTGGACCCTCCTCTACCTCCTCACAGCACCATCTCCCCCTACTTGCTATATCCTTCCTCCAACCAAATGAGTAACCAGGGTCCTCATGGCTGAGGAGGAACTCTTCAAGGGGGCACATTGTAGGTGTCATCTTTTACCTCCTGGTAGGTTCTCCCCTACCTTCCCTTATTCTCCTATGGGATCCTCTTTAGTAACCCAACTCTATAAACCATAATTTTGTTTTGATTCCTCTAGGTACCTTTAGAGGAAAGCCTGGCCATTGTGGAGACCCAGACACACATCTCTTCCATCTTTCCTTTTAAAGGAAGCAGTAAGAGGTTCTTCATGAGAAAATGCTCCAACTAAAAGCTGGAATGCAGCGACCCCTAGAAAAGGGACCTGCTGAGAGGAGAGTGGATGGGCAGCAGACTCAGCCCGAGGAGGCAGGATCCTCCTCTGTGTCCCACAGCGGGTAAGAGATTTCCACTGTCAGAATTAAATCATTGCTCTCACAGCAGCTTTCAGGGTCTGCATCCAGGCTCTGTAGTTTAATTATAGGGCTTTTTCTAAGATCTTTCTGGAAATTCTTTAGAGAAAAGCCTAGAGTGTTTTTTATTATCAGTTACTTTTATTATCCTGAGAAAGTTGGTTTTATTCTAAGTAACAATGCATATATATTCACCAAATATACTATCTTTTTTTTAAGATTTTATTTATTTGACAGAGAGAGAGATCACAAGTAGAGAGAGAGAGAGAGAGAGGAGGAGGCAGACTCCCTGCCTAGCAGAGAGCCTGATGTGGGACTTGATCCCAGAACATTGAGATCAGGACCTGAGCTGAAGGCAGAGGCTTAACCCACTGAGCCACCCAGGCAGCCCCCAAATATACCATCTTAATGGAATGGGATTTCATGGAACTCTTCCAGTCACATCAGTAATGTCTCTTTTCTGCACTGATGAGAGCACCTAAGAATCTCCTGTTATCTCAGGAGATTCCAGGACAATCAGATTGTCCCTGGTTTCTGGAATGGCAATCATGATAAGTTCAGGTCTTGAAATAAGCTCAGGAAATTGCCAAATAATGGCCTGTTGGCTACATTTGTCAGTGTTTTTAATGGCTGTTTGCTTACAGCTTTTTGAAAAAGTCATTGTGTGTTTGTTTGACCAAGAAAGAGAGAGAGAGAGAGAGAGCACAAGCAGGGGAAGCAGGAGAGGGAGAAGCAGACTCCTCACTGGGCAGGAAGCATGACCTGGGGCTCAGTCCCAGGACCCTGGGATCATGACACTTAACCAACTGAGCCACCCAGGAGGCCCAGTTTGCTTACAATTTTTTGAAGGCATTAAAATAATATGGAGTTAATCCATTATACAGTTACCTGTGAACACCAGTTATTGACATGCCACATCATAAGTAACTTGCTTAGAGGTTGGGCACAGCTCTGAAGGTGATAAAATTCTGCTTCATGCTTCATTGGGTCACTGTCAGTATGAACCACTTAAATTTCACTGAACCAGAGAAGAACATTAGAGCTAAAAATAATCTTAAAATCAGTTCGTCTTGTTTCCTCATTTCAGACCAGAGAACATTCAGGCCCAAAATATGGTTGCTTGATTAAAGTTGCAGCCTTTGGCAGAAGTAATATGAGAAACTTGGAATCTTAATTTACAAAGTCTACATCCACTTTGTCAAATACATTTTAAAAATTTATATCGCATAATTATTCTTTTTTAAAAAAGGCTTTGTTTTTAGAGCAGTTTTAAATTCAAAGCAAAATTGAGTGGAAACTACAAAGTTTCCATATATCCCCCCAACCCTCCCCCATCTCCACACATGCATAGCCTCCCCCGCCCCAACAACATGCTGTCCCAGAATGGTATATCTGTTACAATCAATGAACATATATTCACACATCATTATCACTCCAAGTCCATAGTTTACACTAGGATTCATTCTTGGTGTTATACATTCTTTTGTACTTTTGACAAAAGTACAATGATATGTATCCACCATTAGAGTAACATATAGAATGACTCTTCGTTGCCTTAAAAATAATACTCTGTGCGGGGCGCCTGGATGGCACAGTGGGTTAAAACCTCTGCCTTCGGCTCAGGTCATGATCCCGGGATCCTGGAATCGAGCCCAGCATCGGGCTCTCTGCTCTGCGGGGAGCCTGCTTCCCCCCTCTCTCTCTGCCTGCCTCTCTGCCTACTTGTGATCTCTGTCTGTCAAATTAATAAATAAAATCTTAAAAAAAAAATACTCTGTGCTCTGCCTACTCATTCCTCCTTCCCTTTTTTTTTTTTTTTTAAGATTTTATTTATTTATTTGACAGAGAGAGAGAGATCACAAGTAGGCAGAGAGGCAGGCAGAGAGAGAGAAGGAAGCAGGCTCCCTGCTGAGCAGAGAGCAGGATGCAGGACTTCATCCCAGGACCCTGAGCGGAAGGCAGAGGCTTAACCCAATGAGCCACCCAGACGCCCACTCCCCTCCTTTCCTTCTAATCCCTGGCAACCACCGGTCTTTTTACTGTCTGCACAGCATTGCCTTTTCCAAAATATGATCTAGTTACAATCATACCCTATATAGCTTTTTCAGATTGGGTCCTTTCATTTAGTGATATACATATAAGATTCCTTAATGTCTTCTCATGGTTTTATTGCTTCTTTCTCTTTAGTGTTAAATAATATTACATTTTCTGGATGTGCCCATTTATTTATAAATTCACCTCCTGAAGGACATCTTGATTGCTGCCAAATTTTGGCAATTATGAGTAAAGCTGCTATAAGCATTGTGTAAGATTTTTACGTAGACATAAGTTTTCAACTCATTTGAATAAATAGTGAGGAGCACAATTCTGGATCATATGTTAATAGTACGCTTAATTTTGTAAGAAACCACAAAACTGTCTTCCCAAGTGGCTGTAGCATTCTGCATTTCCACCAGCAATGATGAGAGGATCTTTTGCTCCCCATCCTCACTAGTATATGGTGCTATCAATGTTCCAGATTTTTACCATTCTAATATGTGGTGCTCATTGTTTTAATTTGCAATTCCATACTCACCTATGATGTTGAGCATCTTTTCATATGCTTATTTGCCATTTGTGTATCTTCTTTGATGTCTGCTCAGGTCTTTTCCCCATTATTTGATTGGCTTGTTCATTTCTTTTTTTTTTTTTTTTGTAAGATTTTATTTGTTTATTTGAGAGAGAGAACATGAGTGGGGGGAGGGACAGAGGGAGGAGGAGAAGGAGGCTCCCTGTTGAGCAGCCTCAATTCCAGGACTCTGGATCATGACCTGAGCCAAAGGCATATGCTTAACTGACTGACTGAGCCACCCAGGCACCCCCATTCATTTTCTTTTTGTTGAGTTTGGGGAGTTCCTTGTATATTTTTGAGAATTGTTCTTTATTAGATATGTATTTTGCAAATGTTTTCTCCATGTCTATGATTTGTCTTCTTATTCTCTTGACCATGTCTTTTACAGAGCAAAAGTTTTTCATTATAATCAAGTCCAGATTATTATTTCTTTTATGGATTGTGCTTTTTGTATTTGTATCTAAAGAGTCCTTATTAAACTGAAGATCATTTAGACTTTCTGCTTTGTTTATCTTTTAGGAGTTTTATATTATGTATTTAACATTTAGTTCTATGATGTATTTTGAGCTAATTTTTGTGAAGGATTTAAGTCTTGTCTAGGTTCCTTTTTTTTTTTTTTTTTGCATATGGATGTCCAGTTGTCCGGCACCATTTGTTGAAAGACTATATTTTCTCCATTGTGTTGCCTTTGCTCCTTTGCCAAAGATCAGTCACCTATATTTTGGTGGGTCTGCCTCTGGGCTGTCCATTCTGTTCCATTGGGTTTGTTCATTTTTTTTTAAGATTTTATTTATTTATTTGACAGAGAGATAGAGATTACAAGTAAGCAGATGGAGGGAGAGGGAGAAGCAGGCTCCCTGCTGAACGAGGAGCCCGATGCGGGGCTTGATCCCAGGACCCTGAGACCATGACCTGAGCCAAAGGCAGAGGTTTAACCCATTGAGCCACCCAGGCACCCCAGTTTGTTCATTCTTTCACCAATATTACACTTTCTTGATTACTAATAACTTTACAGTACGTCTTGAAGTCAGTAGTATCAGTCATGTGACTCTGTTCTTTTTTGGATATTCTGGTTCCTTTGCCTCTCCATATAAACGTGAGAATCAGTTTGTCAATATCCACAAAGTAACTTGGTGGGATATTGACTGGGATTGCTTTGAATCTTTGGATGAAGTTGGAAAGAACTGACATCTTGACAATATTGAAGCTTCCTATCCATGAACATGGAATATCTATCTCTCCATTTATTTAGTTCTTTCTGATTTTCTTTCATCAGTTCTCATTTTCCTTATTTAGATCTTACACATATTTTGTTAGATTTTTACATAAATATCCCATTTGGGAGATGTTAATGTAAATGGTACTGTTTTCAATTTCAGATTCCACCTGATCATTGCTGGTATACAGGAAAGCAATGGCTTTTTGTATATTAACCTTGTATTCTGCAACCTGACTTTAATCCCTTTCAAGTTTCAAGAGTTTTTGGTCATCCTTTCAGATTTTCTACATAGACAATTGCGCCGTTTGCAACAAAGACAGTTTAACTATTTCTTCCTTTCCAATCTATAAACCTTTTATTTATTTATTTATTGGTCTTACTGCATAGTCTAGGACTTCCAATATGATGCTTAAAAGGAGTAGTGAGAGGGGACACTCTCAGTTTGTTTCTGATCTGAGTATAGTTTCTTGGGGCACCTGGGTGGTTCCGTGGGTTAAAGTCTCTGCCTTCAGCTCCGGTCATGATCCCAAGGTCCTGGGATCGAGCCCCACCTAGGATTGAGCCCCACATCGGGCTCTTCACTCAGCGGGGAGCCTGCTTCTCTTCCTCTCTCTCTGCCTGCCTCTCTGCCTACTTGTGATCTCTGTTAAATAAATTGTTTTTGTAAATCTTAAAAAAAAAACTTATAGTTTCTTACCACCAAGTATGATGCTAGCTGTTTGTTTTTTGTAAATATTCTTTATCAAGTTGAGGAAATTTCCCCCTGTATTCCTAGTTTAACGAAAGTTTGTTGTTTTTTTTTTTAATCATGAATGGGTGCTGGATTTTGTCAAATGCTTTATCTGCATCTGTTAATATGATCATGTGAGTTTTTTTCTCATTAGCCTGTGATGGGACAAATTACATCAGCTGATTTTCAAATATTGAAATCAGCTCTGCATATCTGGAATGAATCTCACTTGATATATTACATAATTCCTCTTACACATTGTTGGATTCAATTTATTAATGTTTTGCTGAAGATTTTTGTATCTGTGTTCATGAGAGATATTGTTCCGTAAGGTTTTTTTTTTTCCCTTTGGTTTTGGTATTAGGGTAATGTTAAGCCATTCCAGCAAAATTAGTTGGAAAGTATCTCCTCTTCTTCTAAATCTA